TTTGAAGTAAAGATTAGCTGTGACAAATCCTTAAAGCCCTAAAAAGAAAACCTGGGGGATCACAAAACACACAGGAGCCAGCAACCTGAAAACTGGCCAAATGAGTTGAGCCAGGCCAGATATTTATGACAGTTTTCTGCTTATCAGTAACTCATAGAAACTTAAGGGAATGCAGGAAGTCAACTTGGATCATTAAAAAAAACCACAATCTGTTTGAAAGGACATGAATGAAGTAACTACTTGGCTCAGCTTGGTCTCCTACCTGAAGTACCTCTTAGCCTAGACAGAAAGAGCTAGTTTGGAAAACTCAGCTCCAATAACATTGCAGAACATATTCACTGAAAACAGACTGAAGCTTTGTTCGCCCAGAAAGGTGAGGGCAGGTACCAGGTTGCTGACGGCGCTCAGGGTTGACCAGAGCGAGTTAGCAGAGTGGAAACCTCATGAGTGCAGGGCTCTGGTCAAACCTATCCAGTGAAGCTTATTAGTTTAGGCATATTGCCAGATAAATGCAGCTTAATGTCTTCCAGGAGAGTCATCTTAGGGACAAAACAAGCTTGTGTGGCTAGAAATACTCTGAGATATTCAGACTCGTGCTTGTAAGGTATGTCAGAGGACCCAAATAAGGAAGTGTAAGGGTAAAAGAAGACATCAATGAACAACTGAAAGGTAAGGAATGTGGTTTATACCATCTGCAGACATCAAGAGGATCAGGTGTAAATTGGGAGAAGACCAATTTGAAGGCACTCAACTGGCTAAGGTCTTGCAGATTTAAAAAAAAAAAAAGTCTGCAAAAAGAAACTGCAAATTTAGAAAGTGATTCTGGTTTTGACAAAGAATGTAATAGCAGAAGAGGAAGAGCTACTGGAGAGAAAAAATGGAATCTGACTGCCAGATGCCATTCAAGTCCGATACTTGAAAGACAGAAAGAGGCTTGTGATATTATTATGTAATTAAGGAAAGGGAAAGTTCTACTTCCAAAAATAAACAGAAACTGGCAGTAATGCAGAAAGTGAAAGGATCAGCAAGGGCTGCTACTTGTGAAGGGGAAAATGTTCACAGAAGGACTGTCAAAAATATATGATCATTATGTTTCTCCAGTTGTTTGAGTCACATCCTTCTTACTTTTCGCCATACTGTTCCGCAATCTTTTTCTCGTCCAGTCCATCTGTCCTGCCTCACCTCTATTCATCCATTCTGTTTCTACTTGTCCGTTTCATCCTTCACCCTTACGGGCTTCCTTCTACAGGCTTCATATGCACCTTTACCAACTGAGTGGTTCTTCCTTCTGGTGCCCATAGATGTTCGGAACATCTCAAAGGATGTTCTCCCCATCTTCTATCTACTCATCATATCTCTGGGCCTCATTTGCCTTTTATCCTTTCTTCTTCCAAACACATCCATCATAGAACCTTACTGCAAAGGGACTTCAGCCACTGAGCTGAAGCTGTGCAATATGGCAGAGTAATGGACATTGACTCAAAGGCAAGATTTTTTTGATTATACTGGGTAAAAGATTAAAAGATCCAAAATCTTAATGCACTCAAGTGGAGAAGGCAATGTGGAATGTGGCCCGAGCTGATTTTGAAAACTGGACCTTTCAGATAGGAACTTACATAGCTGAAAACCAGGATGGAATAACAAATTGTTTAGGTTTCATTTTAGTCCGTAAGTATGCCAGCAATGCCATATGCCAGCGAATGTATCCACCTGTTGAAAGATATGGTCTGGATGAATGAAATATTGCTTGCAGTGGATAAACTGCCTTGTTTTTATTGCATCAGTTATATACTACAGAATCAAAATTGGGAGTGGGTGAGATCTGTTTTGAGATAGATGGTCTCCAGGCAAACGTAAATTCAAGAGTTCCTGGAAATCCGATAAAGGAACTGATCCTTTCTCATTTGGTTTAAGCTTTGAAAAAATAGAAAATATCTAGTAGATAAAAGGGACACATTTCTTCAAAATGTGACCCAGTGATACTGAACCCAATGGCTCAGAGCAGCCGAAAGCAGGAAGAGGGTGGGAATCATAGCTCCCACCATTGCTACTGGACTTGGTCCATCAGATGCGGGACTTGGTCCAGCATCACACTGCTGAAGAGCTTTCTGGATAAGAAAGACAAATTGTCTTCACAGTCCAGGAGAGATATTTCTGTGTACAACAGAAAAGTTAGCAGGGATATAAGATACAGTACAAAGTCACCATTTTTTTTAAAGTCCCCCTTTTTTAAGAGAGTTTCTGTGTGCTTACCTGGTATAGAAGCAAGATGAGGAGACTTACTCATTGAAACTTTATACAGTAAGTTGAAGCAAATACATTTTCTTCTGTTTGCCAAGAACAAGTACATGATCAAGTTGCCATGCCACATTACATTCAGTCACCATGTTATCTAGGGAGCTAACAGGAGTGGCCCTCCTCCACTCCCCCATGCTTAGGCTGTTTCACTTGCACTGGCTGACATGTACCTGGCTCTGCAGGTCAGGGTGTGAAATCAGCTTAGAAACAACCCTACAAAAGTAGCCATTATTTCTCTGCCTATTTACTTCGCTGGAGCAGTTTATCAGAAGGCCAGAAAAGGCATGGGTCAGGAACTCGCAGCCTGTAGAGCACTGGGTTGGATCCCTGTTGCTGTGGCTCAATGAATATATAAGTACTCATTAGAATGTGGCAATTCACGCAGGCCTCTTTTAACTGTATCTTGGGTAAAGGAAATGTACCCACTACCACAAATAAAAGATATGAAAGATACTGCATCACGATCAGTCTGGTTTCCCACACCAGACTGATTGAAGTATCAGTGTGACAAGTGGAAATAAATGCCTAAATAAGTGAAAGAAGACAGCTTTAATTTATGTGGTAACTTAAAACGATATTTTCAAGTTTTTGAAATGCACTGAACACAACTGAAAGTCCTTCAAAGAGATTGCAAAGCATCCATTAGCCCTTTTGCTATATATTGTTGATAACCTGATATATGTTTATATCTTGGAAGAGCTGGAGCATTGATACTCCGTGATAATAGTCAGTGTGTCCATATGAAATAGAAATAAAAAACTGTGAGTTGTCTCAAAAGAGGGCAATCAAGCTGGGCCCACAATTAGCAAGAAGGGAACTTCTATCAGCAAAAAAATGGAGGCTTTGCACCATTAGCCAAGTCTGTTGGCAATCACATAGGAAATCTGAGGATTTGGCTGCTATTTTAGCATGTTTGCTTGTGGTTTGGTCAATATTGTGAATAAATTGCATAGTTTGGGTGAGAAAAAGGAAAATATTTCAGGGATCATCAAAGTGAAATTAATACTTTTAGAATTGGAAAAGGCTCTTGTACCTGGGCCTTTCATGTTTGTGACTTGAAATATCACTGTTTAAAGTGTCTTGTGAAATAAGAAAAAGAAGAAAGTTTTGGTTTTACAACTGTTATGCTAAAGTACACAAATGTCTGGCAGCTTAGTAATGCAAAATTCAAAATTCTTTCTAGAAACTTGTCATTGGAGGTGGTGTTTTGTCCAGATTTTGCCATACATATGTAATTCTCAATTCATTTATGGTCTGTGGACATGGTGAAGACTTAGCTGCAATAAAGAGCACCCTATACGAATCAACTTCTCCTACCTAAAAAGCTTTTCCACTGGCTAAAACTTAGGAGAATAGTGTTACAATGCTCTGTCAGTTGACGTTTCTGGCTGCAGTCTGGAAGAAACTAAAGGAAAAGAGGATGTCTGAATAGAATGGTCCTTCTCCTTCACAACCAAAGGTCTTCCCTTTCAAATAACTAAAAGGTTTAAAAAAGCTTCCTGGCCACCTCAGGTTTTGGAGCTGTACCACTGCATGGAATAGGAATATATCTAATATATGTGCACTTCACACGAAGAAGTTTTAATATCAAAGGAGCGAGATAGCATTTGTCCTCTGCACAGCCTCATGAAAACCAAGTTTTTGGCACTGCAGATAAGTCTTCTACACCATATTTTTTCTTTTGAAAACTGATCTTTGAAAGTCTTAAAATAAAAACACATTCAGATGGAAAACATTCTTTTATTGATCAGCATCTTCCAGATTTTCACTCCCCACTCTTCTCCTTGATCTCACATGAGCAATTCTACATGGTTTTAGGATTTGTCGTTATTCATGTTTTACTTGACTTTTCATTTCCTTGTTACACAACAGGAAGTAAGGATGGCTCACAGGAGCATTCAGCGAAATAAAGGCCAAATGCTTGATAATCAGTACAATGTGTAATATTGTTCTCAACTGTTGAGTATAAATACTGATAGAATGAAAAACAACAACAAAAAAAAACAGTTCAATTAATTTTTTCCATGAAACGCTCTCCTTCTAGAATGGATTTCCACATGATATATTTAAATAGCTATCAAACCAAAGACATATTCTTCCTCAGATAAGTGGAAAGATTCTCTCCAAGTCAAATACAAATGCAAACAACACAAAAGGCAGCTCTCAGGAATACATTCTCTCACAGTGAGGTCATCAGAATGGCATCAGAAAACAAAGGAAATTACAAAGTAGGATAATGTAATAAAGCTGAAAAGACTTCCTCTCTTCTTTATTTCCCAGCAACTTTTGCTTATGAGTTAAGATAAGCTTATGACTTACAAATAGGAAAATCTGAAAGAGTCACTCTGTAGATACACAGTGTACTTGGAAAGAGCCCATTTTTAGCTCATTATATATGAAACATTAATTTAGAAGGAAAATGTGGACCTGATTCTCTAGCTACATGACCTAAGATATTTTTTTGTTTTTAAAATACTGAGAAATGAGGAATCATAATGTAGCTTCTGTGGGAGATGTTAGAATTGGCCTAACTTGCTAAATATTTCACTTGTGAGAATAATCCCACAGTAGTTAGCAGAAACTGTCAACGTGAGAGAAGACACTTGGAACGTTTGCGAGTCACACCAAAAGACAATCCGATGTTGAGGAGATACTAAAGATCTTAAAAATGTGTTGGTAAATTCATTCACCTGTACCCATCTTCAATGCAAGGAATGCACGCTCTTCAGCCTAAAGGAAACAGAAAATTAAAGAAGATTGGCTTTTTTTCTCAAGTGAAAAAAATCATTTATCTTATGACAAGGAAAAGAGGAAAAGGCTGCCTTAAATCAAGGATCAAAGCACCTTCCCAACTAAAGGTGGGAAGCCATGATTTCCTCAAGGAAACCTAAAGGTTTTTCTCCCCATCTTTCCACAAAGCCTTCTCAGAGTGTCTCTGCTCCTTGTGCTGCGAGTTTCAGATGAAAAATCTTCTTCACTAGCATCACATGCCATGAAATGGACAGGACACAGGAGGCTGTATGCTACAAAATAGCCACTGCTGTAGGTTACCTCTGATGGGGTGCCATTATATAAAGAGCTTTTTGAAGAACAGGGGGTCCCACCAAATCCACCCATGTAATCTGTTGATTACATTAATTACTGTGGTCCAGCTCATTGGCTTGCAGTCTACGTGTTACTGTTTTTCAGAGGGCTATGAGAATGGAGAAAACACTGGAGCAGCTGAGGAAATGTCCCCAGTGAGTGAGAGCACAGAAAGTGCCTGTGATCTCCCTACCAATGCCAGGGAGAAAGCACAAGGCAGGTGCTAATGATATGAGTGTCATGCTCAGCAGATCAGATTGCCCCTGAGTTCTTGAAGGTTGTTGCTTCCTGCTACCTCTGATGCCAGACTGCACTGCCATGCAGCAGAGAGAGGAAAAGCACAGGAGGAAGCCGTGGCTTCAAGGGCAACAATGCTGGGGAGAGACAGGAACCAGATATTCTTACAGGCAAGTACTGAGTTCACTCAGATATTGTCCCTCTTTAGAAAGGGTAACAATATATTTTCAGGGTTAACACTATGAGCTCTTGAACATTTTGAAACCATATATGGAAGAGAGAGTCTGGGTACCTGTGTGTCATGGCCTTTGCTGGGCTTCCATCACTGTATGTCTGCCTGTGAAAACCTGAAGAAACAAGCTCAAATGTAGGTTGCCATTTTTTAAATTATGGCTCGTGTATTTTCTTTCATATTAACTGATTCTGGTTATTGGTTTATTTGGAATAAATATATATTTTTTTAAAGTTTAAATAAGGCCTTGAAATGTTTGTGTATGTTAAAGAAAATCTAGAGAAGTGTCCAAAAATTTAAAAGAACACCAAGTTTTGCCTATAAAACACACACAAAAAGGTTTTTGTTTTTCTTGCTATGTTCTCTAGAACATATAAGGTTAAATCACTCTAACTACAAAGCATGGCTACTGACAGAAAAATATACTAAAAGACAATATGCAAGTCCATTATACACGAAGAACACTTTTCTTCAACTTGGAAAGAGAATAGGTTTTGTGATGGCTAGCTACAGTGGTTTTTATAAAAGATACTGCCTTCACTGGGATCCTGGATTTGAGCTGCAAAATGCATGTTACTAATACCACCACTGTTTCAGCCATCTGATGCTGCATGATATTTTAAATAATAGTAATATTGACAATGTAAACTTCCATTTCACAAAGACATATACAATAAATATTTAATCTTTATCTTTGACTCTAACCAGTACCAGCAGCTACAGAGGGAAGCTTCAAAACCCCCCTCCTGACCATGCCTGTGGATTGCATTATCCAAAAACATACAGTTTGGCAGAAGCCATAAAGCATGAGGTTAAAATGCTCCCTATAACAGACACAGCAATCACATATTACAATTCTGATGCCCTGGATATGCACAGTTTCTCCTTTTTTTTCCCTCTGAATCTCCATAAGTTCTTTACCAGAACAAAATCCTGTGACAAATTCCACAATTCCGTAGAACATTTCATTATTTTATACACTGTTGTCATATCCTTCACACTGATAGAATGGAAAATATGAATAAGGAAGATACATCCAGATTACATGAATCACAAGCCTCAGAGTATTTAACTGATTCACCTTGTGGGCTTCGTAGGAGCTTTTAGCAGGTAGGAAACCTGAACCACCGTTAGGCAGATCCTTGCCCAGAGAACTGCAGTGACACCCCACCCTGAAGCCACCTCTTTTTTAATACTGGGTTTTCAAAGCTTGAGCTATAGTTAACTGTGAGGCATGTTGAAAGTACTGAGATATTTGTCCTAGGAATTGTCATGTTTACAAGGAACTGGGGGAGGGCAGATTATTTGGGAAGGTTCGAGTGTTTTGTGTGTGTTTTGTTTTGTTTGGCAACGCTCAGCCTGAACCTTCCCTAAGTTTTACTGTATTTATACTTTACTTAGTTTTAAGCCTTTACTTGTTTTTATTTCGTTTTAAGCCAGTGAATCCACCCTTGCTAAGCACTTCACCTTAAGTCCCCAAACCTCAGTTTACTCTGGGGGTGTGTTTCAAATCATAATAGAAATAATTTTCTGTAGTTTCTACTGGGAATTTCTACTGTCCCATTTGCAGAGGTGGAAAATCAGCAGAAGGGCTGTGCTGCAATCTCTGCAGTGACAGCATGGTGTGCCTGCTTGCCAGGGACTGCTTTTAACTAGTTACCTCATGCACTCACTGCAAGGTAAACGTAGGTGTGGTGCACAGGACTTGGCACAGGCTGAAAAAGTCACCCAAGAAGCAGAGGAAAGAGCTGCAGAAGTTGCCCTTGCAGTAGCTAATTAAATTATAGTTTGGCTACACAGGTCCATTGCTAAAAGGGAAGCTGAGCATATCGAGCTCACCTGTAGGCATCCATTTTTGGTCTGATGAATCACAGTAAAAAGTGTACAAAATAATGAATGTTCTAGGGAATTAAAATGTCGGTCTACTGGTAAAAACACATTTCACAGTCTGATTTTTCTTTTGTTATCATTAATACTTACCACAATGGATATCACAGATCTGTAGTGGAACTGAATAATCTACATCTGTCCTCCAGCCCTTGTAAAAGAAAGAATTAATTCTTATTCGCCTTTCAGCACACTAGTACTGAACATTTGCCTTGACAAAATTAGCATTGCTTTATTTGTTTACTCATCTGACTGCATTTTTAATCTGTTTTTAAATAAATGCATTATTGGTCTCGCCTACATTTAGCAAGTCTAATCACTTTTAGGTTTCTAAAGCATAAAAAGTTAATCAGAATTCTTTTTGTGCAGAATTTTATTTGTCAGATAATGTCTTATTTTCATGATAGACTATTTAGGTAGGGAAATGTCAGTTTTGCCATCGAATCTGTTTCACTGGGGAAGGAAAAATCCCATCCACTGCCCAGAAGGCTCTTGCCAGGCTCCCTTTCATCTTCCCCGGAGGGGAAGGTGAAGCTGCCTTCCCAGGCAGCTGCTGGGGCCTGGCAGCTCAAGTTGCCACTCTGGTGTCCTATGGTCTGCGAGAGCACTGAGCTCCACAGTGGCATCACACTGTTCCTTTCCTATTAGCATGGTCTAAATAAAGTTCAGTTACACAAACAATGTGCAAAGACAGTCAGAAATAGTTTGCTCAGCTCCGCTTTTGGGAGTGCTAATTCTAGCATACTACGTGCTTACTGTGCTGCTTAGTGTATATATGTCTAACCTTTCTCAGTTAATGTCAGTTTTTGAAACATTCATCTTCTATTCACTTAGATTTTTTGACTAACTTTTTATTACAAAGGAACACATAAAGACAGGATTAACAATTTTCTGTTGGTATCCCTTTATCCGCCACCAACAAAGCAGCTAGATCAGGAGAGCAACTTCTGTGTTAATTAATATAATCTCAACCAGAGGTGGTGGCAGCAAATCAAGCTATAAATAATGCTCTTTGCCAACTTCATTTACAGCATAATCAGATTTGGCGAGGAGAAGGAAACTGCAAGACAGCCTGCTGGTTTCCTGCATTTTCTTTTTTGATGACTTGCAAATTTTTTACAGTGCATCTGGCAAAAATTAAAACACATACCTGAATGCAAATTGTTGACTCACACATTTCCCGGGACATAGTGATTGATACAGAATCTCCCTAATGAAAACAAAGTGGAAAGCTATTATTTTCTATACCTTGGTAAAGTGAAAATATGCATTGTCTCTCTCCAGCTCTTCGGTTCATTTGCCAATAATGCTGTATGTTCCACAGCCTCCAAAAATTAACATAGTGTATTCATTATGGAAGATTATTTATTTTCAGGGATCATCCCTGGGTCTCAATAACCATATGAAGCTGATGTAGTTTTGCCAAGCACAGTTTGGGAAGCACAGAACGAGGGTTGATTTTCCTGCATTTAATGAAGTATCATAAGTGAGGACACCACCCCCCACAGCTACTGACACCAGTCAGCCACTGAACATCTTCACTTCTGTTCTCTAGTGTACATGAACTTGAAAGAAACACCATTTCTTTGCAGTTCTTCAGGGTTGCCCATCACATTGTATACTGAGAACAAGTTCAGCCTTAGGGTAGACTTGTCCTAAATGACTAGTCTGCCACTTAAAATGTGATTGTTTGTGGTTTGTCCTCAAAAGAATAAGTTACTCCAATAATAACTACTCACCCTAGAACTCTTCTACTTAATATGGCAAAATTAACCAAATTTGGGGTAAAAAAGGCTAACATATTCTTACTCCAGTAGTCTTACGGCAACAGTATTAAACAGGGATTACTGTTTCTCGGAGCACAGTTAAGTCATAATGAAACTTTTGTGCATATCACGCTTGGTGCTGGACAGGAACTGTGTGTAATGTAGGTGGGCTCCCATTGTGTTGAGGCAGCAGAGGAAGCAACAGCTTCTCATCAATGGGAAGAAAATGAGCATTTCTAAATACTTCGGTGCCCTTCATGAGACACCCACTACCTCACCTAGCTGTGATTTCTCACTGCTCTGCCATTACTCTTCTTACCTATCCATTCAAACAGGGTGCTTCTGAAACCAAAAGGTCTAAATTATACAATCTTACGTGGAAAAAAAAAAGGTCAGATAAAGGGAAGTGCCAGTGGTAAGTGTTCACTGAACTCAATGTTTAGCCAATCTCCTACCATAGAGATCTGCATCTCTGACAGTAATATAATGTGTCCCCAGATATCCTGCCCCATTAGGAATAACTCTTAATAGTCCCACCAGTGCCTTCTGTGATCTATATTGATCAGGCAAGCTGTTTTCTCCTAAACCTTCTTTCTCAGTGGCTTGCAGCTCTAGGGTCTCCAGGACAAGTTAAAATGTTTCACCTGAGCATGTGCAGCAAAGTAAGCTCAGAGTTGGGAAATACATTTTCTCTGTCAAGTGCAGAGACAGAGATGTAATAAAAATCTAAATTAATTAATTATAAAATTAATGCAGCTTTCCGTGTTAACCCCTTGAAATATAAATGCTGATTTAAGGCTGACTGCTTGCCAGCTACCCCTGGTATATGCACCCGGTGCATCAGAGGTACCAGAAAAATATCACACAACGGCAGCTCATACCTGCACACAGTGCAAAGTAAGATGAACAGCTGGAATATATCCTGAAAAAGAGTACACGTGGCAGAGCTACAGCACGCTCCTCTCTCCCTGAGCCCCCTAAAGCACGGCAGTGTCAACGAGCACAGGCAGGAATAAGAAGAGACATCACAATATAGAGATTTCTCAGCTTCTCAGCTTCCTGTGTGTCATCTGATACACATGGTAGATGGAGAGACGACAGGAGCACACACATTGGAGCTGTCTCAGTGGGAGCTGGGAGGATTCCTCTCAACATGGCAGTCCTAGTAGCTCCTAGACCTATAATAATATTTCTAATAGTCTCCTATTTGAGAAATAATGCTATAGACACTCTTCTGCTCTTTGACCCCACATTCTCTGTAGATCACAGGTCAGGCCAGTAAGGTAACTCTGGCATGCAGGATTGAAGGGTAAGGGAAAGCCACAGAGCTACACCAAAAAGGTATGAGATATGGGCTCAGTGTATGACGTATGGGCATAGTTGCAAGAGAAGAATGAGGCTCCCTTTTAATGAATAGCTGATGCCTGAAACAGCAATTCTCCCACAGTCTTTTCCCTGCTTTTGCTGGAATAAATAGTTGTATAGTTACACAGCTGGATTGAAAGCTAATTTGGCTGAAAACTTACCTTTTTGTGCACTGAGTTAGTTTTGGCAGCCATGGGATTTAGAGTGGCTGGAGATCATTGTGTAATTATGCTCTAAGTCTTATATTTCATGATGTGAGATTTGGCAGGTCTGCTGCATCAGTGACTCGTATATGAAATGTTAACAATAACGTTTCCTATGTACATAATACGTATACTGCACCACAAAAATGATGCTAAAAGAATATTAGTGTTCCACTCAATAATAACTTCCTTTGATGTGACTCATTTGACTTCAACATCCTTATTTATATCTTTCTTCAGTATGAGATCAGAATGACAACTACATGCTTTAAATATGTTCCATTAATTGTTTCAGTATGTACACACATGGGCTTATTAATGCATTCAGGCTGCGCAGTGATAAATGGATTAATAATGAATACAGTTAAACAAGTTAAAAAGACTTAAAACGTCTAAGAAATAATATATACAAACCGCAGAGACTGAATGGCGCATCCCGACAGCTTCACATGAGGCCAGCTGTGTTCTGTTACACACAAGCACGGAGAATTGCGCCTTGGTTTGGGATGTGAAGAAAACGTGTATCTGCTCTGCCAGTGCAGCAGTTCTCATTTTCCAAGCTGATATTTAAGGAAAATAGACTTACTTTTACCATATATTATATTTAAAATTGTTGCATTAAGAATAAAAGCCATTTTAATTAGTTGAGTACCATCAAATAACATGCAAACGACAACGCATAGGAGTAACAGACCACCAAATCTCTTTGCTGTAATTCATAGGCTATAGTGATTTGAACACTTGAAAAAGGACAAAGCTTGTTTGCTGGAGAAGACTCATATCTAGAGATTGATTTAAGTATCTTTCACAATTTAATATTATCTAATAAAACAATTATTTACCTGGGAATTCTCCATGAGCGAATGGACATTTAACCCAAGAGCCTTGCTTGGTTGTAAACTGAAAGCAGAGAAATCCATTAGGAAAACTGATTTTTCCATTTGAATATGTTTCCGATTCACCATCATCACTGTATTTCAGTGGGGCAGAAAGTAAAACTACAGATTTCCTGCTCTGTGATATCTTCTAACCCGTGATTTGAACTGGTCTGGGTTAAACCCCAGTTTTTCAGACACTGGTGCACATGCAGTTCATTGTCTTAAAAGTAAGAGAACAGAAACCAGTAATATGCCTAGATTAATAATATGCCTAGATTACACTTTTGTGAAGCAGCACAATATAAGGTGATAATGTATGTAGCCCATCAAAAAAATGAATACATGCTTTAGAGTTTGCAGTGTGTGAAGTAAGACATTTTCTCTGCTATTCGTAAGATGAAGAAAACTGGTGGCACAATTTGATTTGCATCACATCTAGCATTTCTTCTGCGCTTTGAAAGAACCTCCTTTTAATTTACTCTTTCACATTTCCTTCATTCTTACTCCCTCTTTATCAGACATATAAAAGAAACATTCATGCCAAAGGATATTAACAACAACTTCTTTGATAACTAACATAAAGAAAGGCAGTAAATAGGTCATTTAGAAGAAAATTGCTTTACCTTCATGCAAAGTCTTGGGTGAGTGTCCACACGAGAATATTTAACCTGCTTGAAAAGACAGCGGTTAGCATTAGCTAGTTTCATTATCTAGCTTCACAAGATTAATTATCTAGGATTTTCTAGATTTGATTACTGAGATAGGAGCAGCTTTGTTTACTGTATAAGTATCTCAATGAATAATAGGTATAACACTGCCTTAAGTTACTAAATAAATCACTTGCTCCTACCCATAGCATGTAGCATTTTTGACATTCATTCTGACCTGGTATAGCTAAATCGTTTGATTCTCTGGTGACTTGTTTAAGAAATTCTAATTACACAGTCTTCTTGTTCCAGGGCCTTATTTACCAGGCATCACCAACTCAGCAGAATAGTTAAACACAGAATCATAGAACAGAATCATAGAATCATTAGGGTTGGAAAAGACCTTCAGGATCATCAAGTTCAACTGTAAACCCATCACCACCATGCCTGCTAAACCATGTCCCTAAGTGCCTCATGTACACATTTCTTGAACACTGCCATATTCTCAAAAGTGCTGTTGAAGGCTTTCTGAGGCTTCTGAGGCTTCATTTTCAATTGAATAAATTCTCAATTTTCAGTATCCCTATTCAAGAAAAAACTTAAACATAGACCAAATTTTAAATAATTGCTTAAATGACTTGAAAAATGTTTCTTTAATGAATTGCAATCACTTAAACTATCAAAGACTTCAACATAAAAAGTCCAATATAAGCAATTACTACATGTATAAGTCATCTTACTTAAGTGGCTGTGACAGAACCAACCAACAGCCCTACACACAACAGGCAAAGTAACACCTCGTTCCTGTAATTTCTTGAGAACAAGCTGGAGGCCTATCTATGGCAGCAATAAGAGAGTCATGGGAAAGCTTCCCATGGGAAAGCTAAGAACCAGACATGGAAGCTCAGACATGGAAATAGCATTACCCTGGACAAAGAAAGACACCCAAATTGCAGAGCAGAGAGTTGTAACTTTGGGGTCTGATTCAGCACATGTGCATATCATTACAGTGTGTAGCCCCATGTGGATTTAATGGGGCAGGTTGACAGGAGGAACCTTTTCAGTGGTCTCCAGCACAGTATGAAGATATTCTTCATTATTACAATTGCATGCCAAAAAAAAAAAAAGGACTAAATCCAGTATCAAGAAGAAGAATTAGAAAAAGGAAAATTAATCCAGTCCATGAGTATTAATACTCAGCCATTAAAAGGAATGGGTAAACGTGGGAAAACACTCGTTGTCTGGTACTAAACTAATTGGATTGTCCTATTGGTCATAGATATGACAAATGCCATCCCAACCTCATTTTAGACTGACTGACTTTTTTTTTTTCCTGCAAACACTGAGTTGTGTTTGTTGTCAGCAGATGGTGAACTCCGCAGGGAGTACTCACATGTGTCAAATTAAATATATTTGTTTTTGCAAGAATAAAGCTTTGCTGAAAGCTAGGCAGAAAATGGTGAATCAGTGTTAAGCACCACAGGTTTGGCCAGGAGTCTCTCATATTTTCAGTGTTTCTTCAGTATTTATAAGATCAAACATTCAGAAGTCTTGAGTCAACCTTGATAAATCATCTCACCAGAATAAGACTCAAAGTTTCAAAAATGAAGATTTGAATTTGGTTTTATTTGCCTTTTGAGTTTTTACCTCAAGTTGACTAGCTTCTTTACACAATCAGGAAGGCCTGAAACCTTTCAAGGTGAAAGTGGAAATTCTAACCAACCCTCATAAATCTAGTGCATTCAATATCAGGTAACTTTGGATTAAGTATGAAGCAGTTTGAGGTACACACAATCCTTTTCAGTTTTAAAGTATGAATGCAGGAAAAGCTAAGGTGCTCAGTATTTCAACAGACAAAGTTTCAAGATATTGAACTAGGTTCAAGAAGGCACTTCTTTCTTTGAAAAAATCTTAAGAGAGCAAAAAACAATCATGCCCTATCAAGGTACAAATACATCTCCAATAAGACATAAAGAGAGTCAGATTCATCTCACTTATGTCTTTCTTAGATGCCTAAACATATACATTGGATCTAATCACAGTAGATTCCTGTCATAGTCAGTGAAGAGAAACAGCTACCTTTAGGGAGACATCCCCCTGACCCGTCGTATATGCCTATCTTCAGATGAGGAGCATAGTTTTCTGAGAAGGACTGAGTACTTTAAAAGGAATCTGGGTTGAATAGCTGAGACTTGGACATCTATCTTTTAGACAACAAAGTCAGAGCAGATGAATCATGCCTTTGCTATAAATGAAAAGCAGACTCTCTTACCCCAAAGAATTTAGGAAACATTATGAGCTTCACAATCACTCCACTTTTTTTTCCCTAATAGCAAGTTAGCCAATTTTGAGCTCTCTGAATAAAGCATATGGCTATAAGAACAGACTGGGATTATGAACAATTTTAAGTATCAGAGAAGAATTTGCAACCTTAGTCCAAAGTCTAGCTTTTTGCATGATGCATTTAGTCACAACTTTCTAGCACGACTCTCAGTCTCAGTTTGAAAAGAAATCTGCGTGGCTCTTACCTTCTCGGGAGAACTTTTGGAAGTGTTTTGTATATCTTCACAGTGGTGGTTAGGCTTCATTAACCTGCACAGGTTAACCGTGACAAACACAGGACAGGCTGGCTCCCAAGCTAAGGTTTGTGTGATTGGATTATAAACAATATTATCCCATAACGCCTTTGTATCTGTACAGAAAGAGTGGAAACATTACTCAAGATGTCTAAAAAATGAATCAAACTCATTCATAAATTTGCGATGTCTAAAAAATGAATCAAACTCATTGCTACCTATATATGTGCTTAAAACCCAAACCATTGTTTTTCCATTTCTTGTCATTCCATAATTTCATCCTACCAAAGTGTTGGCATTTTGCTTAAGTACCTACGAGTACTGTGATGGCCATCAGGCACCACCAGGGAATGGCACTGCGTGTCTGAAGTGGACTGTACCAGTTCATGGAAGTGTATTCTCTGCCCAACAGTTACAGAGGGAGCAGAGTGCAGGTGGACTCCTAATCAAAGACTTTCATGTCCTGCAAATACTTTGGGAGGAAAATCTTGAAAATCTGCCTACTTGGATTTCTAAGATGAGTGAACAAACGATGCCTATGACTCCTGAAAATGTAGCAAAGTGAAGGAAAGCAATCTACATCAAAGAGTGGAAATACAAGGCAGCAAAATTCAACTCTCATCAAAATCTCATCAAGCATAACAACAATTCCAGTTTTCATAGCTTTCTTTTGGAAATGTTCTAAAGCAAAACCTTTTGATATTTTCTATTAGAAATCTTCCAGACCTCTTCATTCTGCAAAACCTTGTACTATCTTTGTACTATCTTAACTTTCTATCCTAATGAATATATATCAAAATACTGAGAATTTCTATGAAGTGGAAATATCAACTTTTTTTACAACTTCATTTTGCAGCAAATGGCTAGGTACTGTAAAGCTAATGTTAAGAGAAGATTTATTCTAACCAAAAAAGTCCTGGTTCCCAGGGACTCTAGCAGAGTTTTCACAGATACATTTTGAATGTGCAGGAGTCTATAATATTACAGCTATAGTTATAATCCTAACAGAACATAGCTAGCACCAAAACAAAGATTTATTTGTCTCCAAGCCTTTTCCAGGCCTGCTCACAGACTTATTAAATGACTCTGCTCCTCTTTCATTGCTTTGTGGAATTCATTTATCTACTTTATAATAAAGATGCTTATTTAAATAATTTTTTACCCTTCCTACTACTTCATGTTCTTCATTCATCCTCATTTCACTAAATTGCACTGTTTAGTAACTAGTAAATTAACACAAAAGAGGAGCTTGTTTCTGATATGCAACTGTTAATTGATTCCTGCTACATAACTAACTCTATCATCCCAGATTTTTTACGTCAATGAGAAATGTGACGGGAAAGAACTAGTCTGCTTTAGATATTCCAGTACACAGAGCTGTCGGTTCAGAAATATAGAAAGTTTAAAAATACAAAAAAAAATTGGCTTGAAAGTTGGAACTCTACTGTGCTTTATATTCTAAATAGCTGAGTTAATGCAGTTAACTGTGTTCATTCTCACTCCCAGTTCCCTCTTTCAAGCTGGTGCCATGTGCCTCTCTCAAATCTCTCCTTAAAGCTTTCCTCTTACATCACCATTCCAAGACTGACCTCAGTGGCTTTTCTTCTTTCTGGCCAGTTAATGTGTGATTTAAGAAAATACGGGAAATTACAAGAAAATTATTTAATGCTTATATTGTCATAAACTTTGTGAACAATTTAATCTGAAAGAAAGCTATTTCATCCATCCACATTACAATCAAAAAGAAAAACAATTTCCATAACATTTTGTAGTATATGATTTTCAACTTAGTTGCATATCCAATTGCAATATACTACTGGAACTGCTAGAAACTACTCAGAGAGTTATCACATAATACTTGCCATTTTCAAATGGGCAAAGTTGTGTCCTCCTTGCATCTGGAATTGCCAACCAGCCCTACAACAGAAGAAGTCATCGTTGGTGAAAGATTCTCAGATACATCAATCTTTAACATGTCAAGAGAGAATGTGACAAAGAACCTTTTCATCAAAGAATGTGTTATGTGCTAGTTGTGTTATATATGTGCTATGTGCTTCACCAAGTTGTGTTATATATGTGCTATGTTTATTATAAAGCTTTGAGAAGTATTTTTAGCAAGATGTTTTGCACTACTCAGTTAAGGCATGGCTCATCATTTGGGGAACTGGATTTGAAGGACCAGGCAATCCTTTCTAGTATATATTGAGTCATATATTCTGCATAATTTTCTTTAGAAAATCTGCCAGTTTAATATTTTTGTTCATTTTTTTATACCCTCATTATTTTCCAGGGGCCTCAGAAGTAATCTAAGGATGATGGCATACCTACGACTTACTTATTAAACCTAGCCTTTATTATGGTAAAGGATGTGTCCTTAAAATATAATGACTAACACTTAATTTGCAATTCTCAAATACCTGTGCATGTCTAGTCACCGTGCCCTAATTATTCAGATTCACATGCAAATGTTTCTATTACTCACAGTTGAAAAACACAGTTCCCATTGATTTGCCCAGCACTAATCACATTGTTGAATTTATTGTATATATATATATATATATATGTACTGGGTGGAAAAATATTATTTCCGTGACCTCCTACCTTTCAGAATGAAGTAAAAGAAAAGTGTAGGTTTGCAAGAGAGCTCCTGGTTCATCTCTAAGATATCTCTTGTTAGGTGTCTACACATCTGAATGTGACTAATGTGCCCTACGCATGTGAAGATCTAGTTAGTGCAGCAGTTCAAAGTGCTATTCAACTCATCCAAAAATGGGCATTAACATATGATTAGTTGAGCAACTCAACTATTGTATAGTTGCTTGATCATTGTATTAACTACCCACAAACCATAAGAGTTTGGAACATCTAATTTGGAACATTTAATTCAAATATCAATATCTACAGCTGGACATCTACACTTAGCAATCTTAATCAGCAAACTGCAAAATTCCTTGAGAAATTAGGTTACATAGTATCTTTGCATCTCATCAAGCTCATTTTAAATTGGTTTGATCAATTTTTATTCCTTTTTTTTTTCTGAAAAATATTCCAAAATCTAACTTCTCATGGTATCAGAAAAAATGCTTTAGTTACCCTGAATATATTCATTGAATGCAGTTTATCCCCCTTCATTCATTCTTGCATTTTACAGTAAGAATTATTTTTATTAGCGCAAGTGCATGAATTGATACTTCTACCACTTCCTCCTCCTCTAGTTATTTTACCTACAAAGATCTTCAGACTCTTCCAGTTATCCTGATTCTCTTCCATTTTGGTTCTCAGCTGACATATATATGCTGACATATTTCTCAAATGTATTATCAGCAAATTCATTAACATACTCCCACTTCTTTTGGGAATGTCACTGATTAAAGAATTATATGGGGATTGTTTTAAGTTTGGTCCTTAAATAACTTTCCTATCAACATTGCCCAATGCAACAGAAGTTGTTGAATTAGTCATGCAGGTATGTGTTTACCTACCCTACAAATCTTGTTCTAACCCCCAGCTTCCTTAATTCAGCTGCTAGTTTCCCATATGATACAACACCAAATCCTCTGCTGAAATTCTAATTAAATCTGATGGTTCTTCCTTGATTTTACATATACATTTTTATATACATATCAACCAATTAGCCTTACACCATACTTTTGGTAAATTAATATGAATTGTATTCCTTTCTCCTTTTATCTCCATGTTTTAATCTGTCTTTCTCAGAAAAAAAAAAAAAAAGAATGTTTTGAATTATAAAGTGAGAAACCTTAGTTAGAAACTTAGGTCCAGGGCCTTTCTGTATAGATTTTTCTTTCTTGCTTAGGACACAAATATCAGACAAAACCTCTTTAATTGGAAACAAAACATGTGTCAAAATCAGACTGTATTACCTCAATGCAAAGACAAGGGAGTAGCTGAGAATACTTCAGAGAAACTGATTTTAAAGATTCTTTCCCTTTTATCTGAAATGAGAAAGATGATCATGAGTCCAGGGCAATAAATAACTCTTAATACAGGTAAATAAAGATATAGAAGGTCCATTCCTGTAAATATGATCTTAATGAGCATTTCTACTTACAGGCCCCCTACTCAGTTCAACACAGCAGTAATTCCAGGTTTAACTCACCACAGCAAATGCCCCCACATCTTCACAGGAAAACCATTTGTGGCATAAGCGAACGTAATAGTCTTGATCTCGGAGAAAGCTGGATACATTCACTGATATGACTTTCCTGGCCCAGTCTACATTATAATCTAACTTTCCACCTGAGAAGAGAAAAATCAAATATGAAATTACTACATCTGTTTATTACTCTACATATTTCTTATTTTACTGTTTGTTTAATTTTCAGAATGTATTTCATAACTTGCTGGATATGAAATTCAACATCTGAAGATTCATATCTAGGATGTTTGAATTAATCATTAATTGATCTGTATATATTTAATATCTAGATCTTCCTGAGCATAATCTTGTTTTATGATATATAATGATTTTCATGAGAATTAATGTTAATGATGTTATTCATTTTGAAATTAGCACAGTCAATACTGAAGTGTCAGGACATGTACAGATTGCAACTCAGTCTCAGTATTTGAATTCCTAAGTGATTCATGCATAGATACATATACAGATATTTGAAGCATTAATCCTGATACACAGGCTGATTATCCTCAGGTTCTTCAGGAATAAAAGCAGCTATGTTAGACAAATCAATATTTGTTGTTTATTTTCCAGGACATAACCTGCAACTAGATGATAATTAGACATAGTGTTATATCATAATTTTTTTCTGATATACAGTTATGAAAAGATATCTTTGTATAAGCCACCAGAAATATTTCACATCTTCAATGTATATAGATCAGCTCACCCAAACAGGCTGGAATATATTTTCCCACATCATTATTCCTGCAATCTGCAAAACAGAAACCAGAATTTTCTTCAGAACTGCTTTATTTATATAGCTGTGCAGCTGAGACTGCCAAACTATCTAATTTTTCCCCTTACCACAAACACCGACTGTGTCATAACTTGCATTAAGGATCCTATTTCACCAGTCTAGTGTTTTTACTGTAAAACCCCATCAGCAAGTCAAAAATCTAGGCTATAACTACACTTCTTTATCCAGGACCTTATTATTATTATTATTATTATTATTGTTGTTAAATTGAGTGCTTCCTTGAAAGCCACTCCAATAATTTACCATACTTATTCAACTGATATAAATGTTCATGAATTTTTGTTATTCTGGTTCCATTGTAGGCTTACTAAGAAGAACCCAGTTAATTTCCAGGCAGTTTATGAGAATGAGAGAGCAGCTGACACTTTCAAAACTAATATGTTTGGCTCTCCAAGGTTTATGTGAGAACAACATGAAATAGCTCATAGACCACTTCCTACTGTTTTCACCTCTCTTTGTTTAACTCATTATTCAGTATTTTGCTTTCATTTTCCCCTCACAAGGACAATATTTTCCTGTTTTCCTTTGTTCACACTTCCATGTAACGTGGCTTAAGACCGAGCTTTATAAAACCCATTTTTTCCCCCGTATATTCACAAAGTACATTTTTTCCCTCAATAATGAAGATGATTTATCATAAAGGTTAAAAATTTTAGATAGAAAGAGGTTTTAACCAGGTGCAGAAGCCCTGTAACACACCTGACTCTGTATGTAAGGGGTGATACTGCTCCAAGTGCCATGGGCAAGTGCAGCTCACCTGTAGGCTGTGCCGATGGGACAAGCACAAGCACTGGACTGAACGAGGGGTCCCATTTCATTTTTTGTGCCATGACTTACTTGCAGCAGCCTTGCTATATCTTGGTAGTGCAACAGTACTGAATGTATTTTTGTATACATATAGTAGGCACTGTAACATGGACCAATGCTATCTTATCCAGTTACATGAAAACAGATGGTAGAACAGTAAGCTAATTCAAAGTGAAAAGAAATTTCTTTTTACTTCCTTATTAAGCTTTTCTCAAAGGGAAAGTGCTTCAGTCATTTCTGAAGCCACTAAAAGACAGCAGAGGCACAGAGAGTGCACAAGACTGGACCACAGGCAAAGACAAAGCACTTGCCAATCACTGGAACACAAATTAGAACCAATGCATAGTACAGATTGACCCTAATCTCTAAAGCAAGCTACATATTTTTATGCACGAAATGAAACATCAAAATGTAGAATACAGTAGATTTTCAGCTGTGAGGTCCAGGTTTGAATGATCAAGCATCATTCAAATTGATATATCCCAGGAGAAGATCTGTCTTTCATTTCTTTCTTAGCTTTTATTTGAATCATCAATTTAAAGGCGTTTTCCTACCTTCGACGTAATATTCCTGACTCAGCTTTACTTCACAGTAATTTGGTACTGTTTGCATGGTCACATAGATGTGCTGTGCTACATTGACTTCAAAGCAGTTGAATTGAACATGTACCTGTTCAAAACATATGTAAAATTAGGTTTGTGAGTGACTTCTACAACACAGGAATACTATGGTTATCAGCATTAAGCAAACAAGAGCAAGGAAAAGCATTATTCATTTGGATTTATTGTAACATGATGAAGGTAAAAGAAGCAGATACTGTTTAATGAAAGGATTTCAAAGAGTATCAGTACTTCTAATCCTGAAGGTTACTATTCTTCTTCAGTCTCAGAAGTCCAAATATCTACAAACTACCAAATACTAAAACCATAGAGATACATGTACCCGATGCTCAATGGATTTCAGAAAGAAATGGTCTTTCATGCTAAAAAAAAAAAGTCACAGCATGTAGGCATTTTACCACCATTCTACTCACTGAACTAAAATTAAGAAAATCTTCATAAACATATTTTTTGAGTCATGCCTATAAAATTACCTTATTCTTAAAGATACCGATTATTCACTGCCAGTCCTGCATTGTGACTGTTCTTTGTAGCAACTAGAGGTACAAAAGCTTCCCCACAGGTTCGCGGAAAGAATAAAGAAAGCGAATAAGTTTGGTTTGAAAATCAGCCTTTGTAGAGGCAGGTCCTCTTGCAAACAGATAAGTGGAAAATGGCAGAGAACCAAAGTTACAGGTTATAAATGATCATTTTATCATTATTTGCTTTGATTCGATGCTGCTGAAGCATACATTTCATTGCAGTTTTCCAAAAAGTTAAAAAGAGAATAAAGAAACAGAGATACAAAATATATTGCTTTTCTCCATAGGCTCATAAACATTTAAATGATAAAAAAAAAACCAAAAGGGAATCTACCTTCTTTCCATTAAGCATCTTGCTTTTTTTCCTAGCAAACCTCACATTTGTGCACTGAGATTGCTGTGTGTCCAGTGAAAGAGAACATATTTCCAGCCCACGAATATTTTCTGAAATGAGTTCAGAATAGATTTTAAAATTTAATTTGAGCATCTTTAACAAAACCAGAAACTAAATTAAAGCAAAATGTACCATGTCCTAAGTTTGCCTTTTAAGTGAAAGGCACATGTATTTTATCTCTTAAAAAAATAAGTAAAACAAGAAATTACATATATACACACATAAAGGTAGGAGAAATGATTTTATACAGTTTTCTCTAAATTAAAGATTTAACTTTGCAAACTCTTATGCGAACGATTGAACCCATTAACTCAGAGTGAAGCATACCAGGAAATACCTATATGGTAACACACTAAGAACATGGATGGCAGTGTTATTAAAAGTAGAGCATGTCAAAAATGTGCTTTAATTTTATTTTGATGCAGAATTGTAACTTCAGACACTTCTCCTCAGGCATAGGGTCTATGGGGCACTCATATCAATCTGAGTGATCAGGTCAAATGCTGTTTGAGTGTGTGTAAGACAGAGAGCAAGAAAGAAAAAGTCATCAAGCTGCTTGCGTAACTGCTAGAGGAAAAGTTAAGTTTAATATATTGGCAGTAAAAAATCTGCTGTACTGAATTCATTATGTCAGTTCTCATTGCCTTGAGTAAGACCAGGGCTTTACCATGGATTTTAGTTAAATGGTTCCATAAGAAATCTTACTGATATAATTATATGAAAACTTCTTGGACACAAACATAGCAATATGGAACAAAATTTGGCTGAACAGCTACAAACAAAAACGTCAACAAAAAGGATTCAGTAGCAAATCTGCCTCCTACCATCCAGACTCAGCGTTCCTTTAATACTTAAATGAAGAGAGCACGGGGTTCCTTGGGCACATTTCATCACTGTTGAGATTTTCATGCTTTTCAATGCCATAGAAGATAAAGATGCAGGAGCATCGTGGCAGAAACTGTTAAAAATACCACCTGCAAATGCAAAACACACAGACAGAGAAATCTCAGTTTGTACCGGGTATTTCTGGAGAGCACTCTTCCTGGGCCTATTAGAAGCCGCAATCTCAATTTCAGTAGGAGACCTCAGCTCTACTAAAATCAGTAGGAAGTCAGTATTAACTTAAGTAGAGCCCGCACTTTACCTAAGACTTTCACATGATCAGAGCAAACACTTGGTTGGCTCCACAGCCCTTCAGTGAGTGACTGTTATCTCATGGACCAGCTTTGATAATTTCCTCATTTGCAGAAGGAGCCACTTCCAATAATTATGCACCCAGCTACACTAACTGTGCTTTTACATAATTAGATCCACCAGATTATGGCTTGGCTAGCAGCATATTTAAACTTTTCTTAAAGCCATTACCCGTATGTTTTGTGCACCCTCATAGGCAGCATTTTAATTTTGGAGAACATTGGCTGGAGGTCTCAGCTGCTGTTAAAATATCATTTTCACACAAGGGGGCACCATTGCATTCCTAGTCATGGAAAGATCCCTCATACCTGTGGGATTCCCTTCTTTAGACCAGGATGATGAGAACCCATTAAGCATCATCCAGGCCTTCGTCAAGCTGTAAATGGTAGTCACAGAACACATCTACTATGCTTCATCTTTTTTTCCAGTGACAATTTAGTCATGACTAAAACCCCAGGACATGATGTGCACAGCAGTTTTCTGCAGGATAATATAAAGGTAAAAACAGTCCTATGACCCTCAAATTAGCCCTATTACATCTCTTTTATTTCCCATTCTTGCATGCACAGAAATCAGTTATGCAGTGCTTAATTGATGTTGGTGAGCAGATTTAATCCCTAATGCAATTATTGGGCATTATACTTCAAATAAACAATAGTCCTGAATGAAACTTTGCGGTTTGAGAGACTGTCAGAATAAATAGCCCGACAATTGCATTTTGTTACAACGGGGCACATCTCATCCTAACTGCAATAAAAGCATGGCAATTTCCTTGAAATGCCTACCTAACTTCAGGACATAGCAGCATGAAAGCTAAAAAACACTCAAGTAAAACAAAATATATCACTGTGCTTTCTCTCCCCTTGTAGAGAGGCTAAGAGAACCAAAAAAATATGTACTTTTATCAGTCTTATTGCTCTACATGTTCCTAGGAGGTGCTCAGTCTCCTATGGGAATATGCTGATGAAAATGGCAATGTCATGTTGCTGCACTGTGCTTGCCATAAGATGCAGGATAATAATGCTACCTCAGATCAGCCGAATAGTATGGATTCTTGTCAAGCACGGATGACTTGCATGGAAGACCCATCCACAGATCTCATGGAGGAAAGGTAGGAGGTGGAGGAGGAATAGCAGAGGTATATCCTTACTTACCCCTCCAGCCATGGGGAAAAGTGCCCTGAGGAATTTGTAAATATGGTTCCATAGAGTTGAGGTGGTTTTAAAAAGTACCATGCACACCAGGTAAATGTGGACATGTATAGTCCACCCTCGAGGAGCATATGGTGCAATAATCCTGAAGGTATCTCAGGATAGAGAGCTTTCCAACAACACCCAACCAATGCACCCACAGTAACTGGGAGATAATTTTATTGCAAAACTACCTAATAATTATTGTGTTAAGTGATGATCAGTTTTAACTCCATCTCTTTGCTCAAAAATACTATTTTCTCGACTACATCATATCACACAGTTGTGCACCTGCTGCAAATGACCTGTGTTGTTTATGCATGAAAATGAATAGTGCCAGGTACAATTGTTTTTCCTTAATTCTTTTGTTGTATAAACTTCTTGGATTTGTTTGTTTGTTGTTGCTTTGTGTGGGGGGTTTGTGGGTTTTTTTCGTTTTTGTATTTTGTTGTATAAATTATGTGGTATAAATTTCTTTACCCAGGCCTAATTTTGCCCATTCCCATGTCTGTGCGTAGATGGTTTTGGGAAGACCATGTTAGTATTAAATGTTCACAATTTGGGTGAATTTGACCATGTTACTTGCCCCAACCTTATTATTACTGCCTGAGGTTTGGTATTATTAAGATATAACAGGTTTAGGACCATTTCAGGAGAATTTGAAGTCAAACCTAGGTTCATTGTTTATATTAGCTCAGTATCAGGCAGATACATAAGCACAGTTTTAGGCACTACTATGTTTCCCCAAACATAGACACCGTTTCCTTGATCATGGCTTCTACCTTTGACCTGAGAACACATAGGGAATACACTGGATAAAATGAAATGACTCTTGCGCTTCATTTTTTTTTAATTAATTCTATGATACATTTTGAGAAATGCAAAAGACTGCAAAACGTATTAATAATAATTTAAGTGGATTGTATCATGCACCAAGGCATTAGTTTTGAATCACAATAAATGCATAATACAAGGAAGAGAGAATAAAAAATAATTTCGCTTCTATAAATCACAGTCATTTCTATAATCGCAAAATGAGACTCATTTTCTGACTAATTCTCCAGTAAAATCTTACCTTATCATCTCTTAATCCCCCTTCCCCTTTCACAGTTGCCTCTGGAACACACGCCTCTTTCCTTCTCACAAGCAATTTGATCTACACCCCAGAAGACACAGAAGTACATCTTGCTACACAAATCATCTGCTGAGTAAATCTTGCCTAGTTTTTATGTTTATAAATTATACTTGTAATTAGCCCTACATGAGAGAGGGATTGTTGCTGTAATAAAAGATTCCTTAATTATGGACACATATAAGCCCTGGCATAAAGAAACCAAGGCTTATTATTCAGCATGTAGACACTTTCCTTGTACTTTTGCCATCAGCTCAACCACAGCGGATTAATTTTTATCTGATGATGCAGCAATCAACCCAGAACTGTCATGACAGCAAAACACACCTTGAGTACATTTAGATAATAGAAGTTAGAGCTGAGCAATGAATACGCAATGGAAATGATTAGATGGATAACTTGCATCCTCAGGCAAGAAGATGAAATTGGAGAACAACAAAAAACAAGCAAAAAAACCTCATTAATAACAGGCCCAGGCCAACACCCAATAGAAACTTTCAACTTTTTTTTTTTTTTTTTTGGATTGCTTGCTTTTCTGGTATTTCTTCCCTAAAAGAACTGTAAGAATCTGAACAACTTCTTATAGTCCTGACAGTGCTCAATCTGTGAATGAATCTACAGCTCACTAAAATTGCTTCACTAAGACATCATTCCATGAGTACAAAATAGCATTTAAAAGTTCTTTTGCATATGCTTTACCACACTGTTTTCTGCATCTGTGCATTAGAATGATTCAACAACTCCATAAACTAGATACTCGCCTAAGATAATCAGATATTACATTACATATTACATATTACTCTCCAAACTACATCAATTTTGAAATTGATTAGATTTCAAGTTGACAGTGTCACTTTTAAAATAGATTTCAATGAACAATAAAGTCAAAAGTATTTCCCAGTTGTGAAACCTTCAGAACGTGTCTTTAAAGTTGAACGATAATGAATGCAATGGTGTTATACTCCACCAAATGTCCTTTCTGAGGCTATAGGGTTGGGGTTTTTTTTAATCTGCGAATTTCAAATACCATGTAGCCCTTACGTCCTACTAGTTGTTGTGCAGAACTGGAGGGAGAAGGCAGGGACAAAGCTACATTGCCAAATACTACTGAATTGACAGCTGTAAATTCTAGGACATATAGTCATCTTTTTGTCACAGCTGCAAACAATGATGACTGCAGAGGTGCTGGGTTATACAGCTAAGGTCTTTTGAGGTAATTTTACATCAAATAATAAAAAGCATGACTATAGAAAGGGAAATACGGAAATAAGCATACACCCATTGTTGCATAAGTGAATTAGGATAAAAACTAAAAAAATGTTTTTCATCACTACTGTAAAGTTGAGTCATCTGATGTTATTTCTATTAAAGATAGCTGATAAGTCATTGGCGGATAGCACTGAAAACCTAAAGCCCGCTCTGCTTCATGTACATCCTATTGCAAGATAGGGATCTTGAGTTTACCAGCCCTTCAGTGTGGAAAGTCTATATCCAGCTTAGAGTTGCACACCAGTTTAAGCTCCTATAAGCTTCTATAGACTTTCCCCATCCCTATCTTGCAGTAGGATGTACATGAAGCAGAGCGGGCTTTAGGTTTTCAGTCAATGAAGAGGGAGCCCCCTTTCCGTCCCTCCCAGAGGGAAATTCTCCCTGTCTTAAGATGGGTGGGATGAATCATCACCTGGTGGTACCTATGGCGACAGTGTCCACTGTCTAGATCTGCATTTGTGTAATATCTAGCACAGAGTTTAACTCATAACCAACAGTGTTGCAGGCATCCTTCCCCTTGAGACCAGGGCTGAAGGATTTCTTCAGCCAGTGTTGCCCTCAAGGCACCAGCACACGCGTCAGCCAAGTGGCGCAAAGGTCAGTCTCCCCTTTTCCCTCTTCTTCCACAGCTCCTTCCACATTATTTGTGAAACTAGCACCTCAGCTGCCTAATCCAAGTAAGACCATTTCACAATCCTTGAACTAGCCATTGATGGGCCACTTTTCTGGTCAGCAGCAAGTTGCCCCAGGGGGACTATCCAGGCAACACTTGCCTTGGCAGCTGCCTAATCCTTCCTTATCAAGTAACTGTGTGCACCGGTGATGTGAGGCTTCAGATAAGTTAACAGTCTATATCATTCCCGTAGCTAATAATAATAGTTGTTAAAAAAAAAAAAGAGTGAAATGATGAAGGAAATTCTCCCAGTGATCATTTAGAGTAAGGAAAATTGGAAAGCAAAAGTACACATTTACCAAATGTATTAATAATGTGATTGATATATACTCACTGGAAGGTTTGTTTTTACAATGAATCCCCTGCAAAGAGAAATAAAATACATTACAAAAGCTGTTACGACATAACGATAAAAACAAATATTGTATAATTATTAAAATACAGTGAAATTGCACACCATGACTATTTATAAAGGGCTACTAAGTACAGTGACACAAGATGAATATTATCAATATATTCAGGTATTTTCTACTGAAGTATAGCAGTTATAACAAATGCAACAATTCCATCAACCACAGTCTTCTTTTTATCAGGTATTGCCATTTCATACAGACTGATAGATTGTATATTGTTTGGTTAGAAGTTTACAGTGAAGTGTATATAATTCAATGTCAAGATAACTGGGCAAAGAAACCTACCTTTTTTAGTGGAAGACATCTAGAATATTTCTGATTATTACATGAGTTGTTACGTATTTTATAGATAGCCACATATTTTCATTGACTGAAAATTACAAAAGTTACTTGTTACACTGGTAAAAAATGGTTGCTTCTATTCAATATCACATCTATATCTAAAGAAAAATATATAAAGGAAATCAAACTTCTTTATGTAACTGTTTCCAAACTGAGATAATTCTAGGTCAATAGCTTCCAAAATTGCTCAAATCCCACTGAAGGATTGAAAATATAACTGATACAAACTAATTTCTGCTGCAATGTGTTCAGTAGAAATATTGGTACGTGTGCATTATTTCTGCAAAAAGAGCTTCAATGGTAGTTTTGTGATTTACACTCCCAATGCAGATTCATGAACAGAAGGAAGACTATAGTTTTCTAAATATTTCAATACAAAATTAAACAACAACAAAAAAGTAACATGCCAGCTCATATAAAACTTCAGTGGAATTTTAACTGCTGTTTCACAGTCCCAATTTTGAATTATTTGTAACCGTAACCCTGCAAGAGCATGCAGAAGAACAATTTGCATTCAGTTTTACTCACTTGATTTTCTAGATGGCCTTAGGAAATGTAATAGATAAACATACAAAATTACTGCAGAAAAATGGGGCGAGTTAGCTGTGAGCTAGCTTTCTTGATGGGAAAAACTAAGTGTTGGATCAATTAATTGATGAAGCACAATTCACTGGAAGGAATTAATCCCTCATGAGGTTGATATTTTAGCAAGTTACTTCCCTATTTCTACCTTCTGATTTCATAGGCAAACTATTGAAAATATTTTGGTCAAGTTGCTCTACAGAATTCCCTACTGCAAGTCAAAATTTCTCAAAACACCATCTCCAAACAAGTTAGTTATCAACTATTCTCTGTCTAACCCTTCTTTCTGGTTATAAACATGTCACAAAAATATATTATAAAAAAAAAACATAGTTTTGAAATTAGCGATATAAAACTCATAAAACTTAGAGGATCCAGCCTTTCATTTACATAATAGCAATACTTCAGATTTACAAGATATGGCACTAGAAAAATGCAAATCTTATGTAAATAATTTATTTTTAGTTTCAAATCTCAAATGAGAGAGACAGGTCCCTACACCTTGCAAGCCAACTACCAACTTTGGTGGGATTACAGGATGATGCAGGAATGTTCCTACATCCTTAACTCTATCCAAAATAGTTCTTGTATTGCACTATTGCTCAGAAGACTCCTACTAGCTAAGCACTTTCCAGTAATGTTTTGTGTTTATTTTCTTATCTTCTCCATGGGAAAAGGAAACATATTCAGCAGTATTTTTTGTTCTGGCAGGGGAATGCTTTGTGGTCATTGGGCATTCAGGTTTGTTCCGCATGGGGAGTTGTTGGGAAGGTTTGCCAGTAACAGCAAGCATTTGGTCACAGCCCAATTTCTTCTTTTAATAAGAAATTTCTTTTTATTGTACAATACCACAGGCTTTTTATTTCCTTTTATAATTATTTTGAAAATAGTCATAACAGACTATTTGTCGAAAAGAAGAACTCAAATAAATTAAACAAGTTCCTCTCCCAGTTTCTATATCTTTTGTTTTCAGGAATTTTCTGAGATGAATGCAACAGTAAAACATAACACACTAAAACCAGAATGGAAATTTTCTTCCCCTTCCACAAATACTTTGGGTGTCTTTTATGCAGAAATAAGATCTTGAACATGATAGTACAATTTACTCTGATACAAAGAGCATCTTAGATTCATATCTGCTTTGGCAAAGAGCCTAAGCAAAATATACTTACACAATGCACAAATAGTTAGGGATTTTCCTATTTCTCTAGGGTTTTCCCCATTTGTGGTATTACTCAACTGTAGCTAGAGGTTATCTGAAGAGACACCACCAACGTGCAGCCTTGTGAATAGAAGGCGTGGTGCCAACATTTTAGCTAGCACAGCAACTTCTCTGCAAACTAAGTCAACTGTAACATCACATCACTCATTTAAAGACTATAGAAAAGAAAATGAGAGAAGCAGAAGACAGATTTTTGCGGAGGGGGAGAAATTTTATTGAAGTAAAATTGATGAAGAAAAAACTAAGATTAGACCTATATCCCATTTCCTGTTAAATCTCCATGCACTGTGGGAAATCAGAATTATGGAAATTCTGCATGAGTAGACTGTCATGAACAAAAAGGGTTTGAGACAAATTTGTTTTCACAGTCTACCTGTTAGCTCTGTTATACCTCTTTCATACAGAGTTGGTGTTAATTCTTCTGCAATGCCAAAAAGAGTAGAAATGTTCTTGAAAAATGCCTTAAAATATGTTTTGATCTTAATTTGGGGTCAGGCTGTCAGTCATTTAACAAGCTTTCATTTAGTTACCTGAAAAGCCAGCAGTTTCTTCTGCTTTTAAGGGATTCTCAGTGAGAGAGCTACTACCTATGTTCCTACTGTAGGTCAAACTGTCAGAGGGATCATCAAAGATTTCTACTCTTTGACCACCATTAAGAGCAAGCATGGGACTGTACTTAATCTTATAACACAAAGAATTAGATGTTTTCATGTTGAGTGGCCTTACAATAACCAATTCTCAAACTGTAGCCAAAGGCTGGTAAAGATAATGAGTCTGGCTGTGTTCTTTCTGATTTCCAGCTGACAAAGAATAGTCTCCATAAATTTATCTTCTTCTACAGAGGAATGCAGAATTAGAATGGATCCCCTAGACCACTGGGTGCATACCTATTAACCACAGATACCACATCATCTAGTCCCTTCAAAAACTGGTCAAACTCCCTTTTATAATCAGTCAGTATCAGGGCTACTCCAGAAGGCCAGTTCTCTTGCAGAAAGAAATATTTTAATTTCCAAGGTAAACCCAAAGATGGTTAGTTTATATCGGCTTGAGTTTGTGTTAATTGTCTGTCCACTTAAATAGGTGCTCTACATCCTTAAATTTATTCTCCATTTATCTACAGATACATTCTCTCATGATAAGCTTTTTATACTCCCCTCATAAAACAGGTTCTCCTTTTTATCGCCATCCTTCATATCAGCTCTATTTAACACATCTTTCCTAATGGTGTGACCAGACTCATGCACAGTTCTGAAGAGAGTTTCTCACTAGGGTTTATTTGGTGCTATGTAAAGTGATAATATGCTTTGTCTCTCTTGCGAGCTACATCACATTTTGCAGTCACCCTGCAACACAGAGCGTGCTATTTAGTGAGTTACATGGTGAGCTACTTCCTTTTCCATGAAAGCAATATGCGTCTGTCCTTATTTTCTCCCTCTGCTCATGTATTCCCATACTATTTATGGAGGGAATAGCCTTTAGATGATGAGCGACAGAAGCATCCTAAATGATTTCACATGGCCTCGAGTGAAAGAGCCTGGCAATGCTAGTGGTCTCAGTCATCTCCACAATGAAAAAGGTCTTTGAGGAGTGGACAGCCACAGTCAAATGAAGTGTTATGGATGTATGCAATTTAGAACTTTGGATGGAAACAGAAGGAATTAAGATCTGTGTCATAAACTCCTCAGATTTTTAACAAATGGTCATAATTTCCTACACAGAGACATTCAGACCCAGAAATCAGTTAAAGAAAACTTCACAAAAGGACATAATGGAGCATTCTTCACCTTTTCCCAAAGCTATTTTCATAAGCCAAGGAGATAATGACTTGGTACTTTGCATATCCTTGGTGCTAGTGAAGACTGGAACCCCTCAGAGCTTTCCTCATTCTGTTCTATTTTAAGGTATAAACGTCACCCCTGCATTTACCTTTCAAGCACACGGAAACAGAATCATTCGCAGTGAGAGAGAGCAAAGCCATAATTCGTGTCCCACCAAAAAAAGATTCTAGATCAAGGTCCAGTATTTACAGAAAAAAGTGCAAAATAGATTACAAATAGATGAAAAGGAAAAATAGCAGGCCCCCAGAAAACACTGGGCAATTAAATAAAATTGTGGCCATGTTTACAGAAGAGTTATAATCATTAACACACATAATATGAAAATTTAGAACAGTTAAGGATTTCTAGCTAGTACTACTGATACAGTGTCCCAAAAGACCTGTTTTCAAAAAGAGCATTTGTATTTGTTTTGGCGTCATCTGTAATTACTTTCATTGCCAAGGTAAAACTGATGATCCTTATTTATTTTTGGCAAACCACAAGGTTGTTCCTCAACTTTCACTGACAATGTGGTAATCAGTCGCACGTGAACAGTGTATAATGGGATCAGCTAAGCGCTCACGGAAGGACCGTTATCACAGCTGGGCTGTTATCCACACAGAACAGCACCAGCACCTAACTCTATGGCAAAGCTTTATTTTGGACTATTGCTTCTACAGCAGGGATGTTGCAGGGTGTTTTTTTGTTTGTTTGTTTTTTACAGAGTGCTAAAAATAAAAAGTCTGATTCATGACTATACATAATCCATCTCCAGGCAGGAATTTAGTTTTTCTTCATGTGCTTCAAGCAGAACAAAAGCCATCTGATCACCTTGGTGCAGCACCAAACCTGAGAGAGCAAACACTGCTGAGAAGTGGGATATTAAGTTCAGGTCCAGTCGTGTGCTCATGAAGTTACAGAGGTTTTGGTTAAGACCTGGCATGTGTCCAACAGAACAAGTTGGTGTCTGCCTGTGTTACACT